TACACAACCGCTTCGTCCCAAAACTACTTAACAATCCTTGTATCTACCTATTAAAAAATACACTTAAACAAGTGCACCAAATTAATAATCGACTTGTATAGTTTAAACAACAATGAATTACAACCTGGCATACATCACAAGGAAACATCAATTGGATACAGACATTACAATATATCATCTACGGTAAAAGACCACTAGCTTTAAATACGGATCCTTATTCCTCAGCAATAAAAAATTTCAAGGTCAAACTGATCTCAGAAGAACTGCCTATCTACCTTCTGCTCCATTGGAGAAACACAACAAAGTATTCTGATTATCGTTGCTCAAGATGCTTCAATGGACCAGAAGACATTACACATCTGCTAATCTGTATTCAGAATAACCTACGTCTAACAACTCTAATTACACAAGTAGTACAAGAAACTTCTCAGAAATTAGAGATACCTCATCTTGGTTTGTACACCTTCATCCGAAGTTTCATCAACCTCCATATTAACAAAAAAATACCCCTTGGGATAATCACCAATGAAACACTAGCACCCTTTGAGAAGAACAAGGATAAATATAAGTACACATCTCTGATTCATCATAATATTATCTCTGCAATATATAAAAAAGTATGGCTCATATCCAGAGCAACAAAGCACAATCTTATCTTCCCGCCACCTCCTCCACTACAACTTCCCGTTTTACATAAAACTAAACCACTTACACCTACACTTATACATAACAAGCTTAATCAATATATAACACATGGATGGTCTTCTCTTAACTTCCTCATCAAAGACTAGAGGTCTAACGACCATTCTAGCAAAGAATGGGTCGAGAGTAAAGTAGCTCTTACCTCCATCTCCCTTAGTATAGTTTTCTCTTCATGTATCTTATATGTATATTTAACTATTAAATAAAAGAAATAGAGGATAGACCTCTCTTTATAAAAAAAAAAAAAAAAAAAAAAAAAAAAAAAAAAAAAAAAAAAATTTATTATTAGTAATATATAATTATATAAAGAGAAGAATTTAATTGTGATGAAGAAAGAAGAAAATTAATAAAGTTGATAAAGAAATTAATTATAGATAAGTTTAGATGAGACCAGATGATTGAGATAATATTATTTTGTACTAATTGAAGAATATTATTAAATTATAGAGGTTGTTGACTACAGGCAGATTTGTTAGTATATAAATAGATATTATTCTAAAGTAAAATAAATCTGTTATTTGATGTTGTAATTTGTTTAATAAAAAGCAAATAGTGGTTTCTTAAATTATTAATTATAAAAATATGTGGATTTGAAAGGAATATATCATAGATTAGAGAAGTATTTAGAAAAAAGTTTGAGTAATTAGAATTTAAAGATAGATTAGATTAAGTAATATTGTTTTTAGCTAATTGAGTGAGTTAAAATATAAGTATAAAGTTTTTAACTTTGTAATTATAAGTAGTCAATAGATTTGAAGTTAAATTGCAATACCAAATTTTAGTTAACCATGATTTAATATTAGTAAGACTAATACTTTATTGAATTAGAGTTAAAATATATTCTATATTTGCAGCACTAGCTTTTTGAACTAAGTTATTAAAAGTTAGTAGATTAAAAGTTATAGAATTAGTAAGGATAATATTGTTTGTATTTTTAGCAAGGAAGTATATTTTTTTGTCTGAATAGTAAAGAGTCGAGACAGTTTGGTTTGAAGATTTTTATAAATAATGGATACTTGTAAAAGGTATTCAATAAAAAGCTAAAGTACAAGATTAAAGAGTGATAAGATTTGTAAGAGTATAAATTTTTATATCTGATTAAGCAAATAAAGTTTTCAATTTTGTTAAAGATCATATTTAGTGTTGGTTTGGTTAAACTATTTTTATCAAAGTAGATGTCTAGATATCTAATAACATCATTTGATTTCCTGAATAAGATGGTTTAATTATCAAAAGCAGAGAGGTTACTAAAAATTTATATAATTTAAAACAAATATAAAGTAAATCAGATTTTGAAGAATTGATATCTATATTGTTTATTTTATATAGTTTAGATGTATTTTTAAGAATATTTTGTATAGTTTTTGAGTTTTTACAAAGCCATGTCATATCATTCATATAGGCTAATAATAAAAGTATAATATTTTTGGAGATGGTATTAGTGATAATATTAAAAGATAATTGCAATGCAATTTTAAGTATTTTGTTTTGATATTTTTGATGAATAAAGATAAGTATTAGATTAGATTAAAATTTTTAAAGTAGCATAAATAAGTTTCTCCTTATTCAATTCTGGATTAACTATTAACTAAAGATGTAATAGAGCTATTACCCGGGTCAGGTTGACCTGTATGGGTCAGTATATGTAACGGGTTATGTGGGTCATGGGTCAGAATTGAGCTGACCCAGATCAAATAGGTTAATCAGGTCTGATTAGCTAATCTAGATTAATTGCAATATTTGAGATATTTAAGCTATGTCCATTTTACTCAAATGACAATAATATGAAATTAATACTATCTTGATACATTAAGTAATACACACAAAGGAATTGTTTTTGTGTGCAATTTTTTCGTGCTTTGCTTGGATAATTACGATTCATAGGTCACAAGACTTAATGCTAGGGAAATGTATATGTAAATAACCAAAATTAGCTTAATAGCAAAGATTACTGATTTTACGACTTTATGAATTATTAAGACTCTAGCCCTATAAAACGATATCATTTTATTACTAGTGTATCGAAGCATGTATAAACTAGTTTTCTAATTATTATAATTAAATAAATATCGATATCAACATGCTATGCTCTAGCCCTATGAAATAACATCATTTTATTATTAGTGTATCAAAGCATATATAAACTAGTTTTCTAATTATTATAATTAGATAAATATCGATATCAACATAAATTTGCTACGCTTTATACAAAACAGGGGGAAACGTTGAAATGTCACAAAATCATTACACAATTGATAAAAATTTTTTTTATATTATTTTACAATACTTTTTTGGAAGGCTCGCTTGACTTATCTTTTATACAAATATTGAAAATGGTTAAACAATCATGAAGCTCTCACATTGCTTTACAACATATCTTTTGAATCTACTTGAATCCAATGGTTTCGTCTTTTTGTAAATTTCGCAATTTGATTAGTTGACTAATCTCGTAGTGATATTTTGACTGGTCAATACAATGAGTGATCTGTGTATTTCCTCCTGTTTTTACACAATCATTTGATCATATATACAATAAGAACTGGTCTCGATTTGGGAGTTAAAAGATTCTCTGACTAATCAATATAATTGAAGTTTAACAATAATTTTTTAATGTATAATAATAATATATATTTAATAAAAAAAATAACGATAAGTTCTAGCCAAGTATGCAGTAAATATAAAAAAGAATCTTTATAACTATGCACTTCTTGTTACTCCTTTTTTGGTATCATGTTCATCCTTTACAAAATTATACCTACGTACGTACGTATGTACTTTACGCATAAGAAATACTGCAGAAAATACATACGTAGTATATATTCTAATCAAAATATAGTAATTTTACCTACACCTAATACCATATATTATAACTATACGTATATATTTATGATTTACTGTGATAATTTATTCGAAAATGTGAGATACTGGCCAAAGGTTTAAAGCTGCTTTAATGAACAAAAGTGTACCAGCAAACTCAGGATTAAGGCTTGTTCGTTTTTCTGTAATAGTAAGCCCAGCGGATGAGAAAAGATGTTCAGATAGCACCAATGTTGCTGGAATAGACAAATACTTGTGAGCAAGTTTTGCAAGTATTGGATATTCAGCTTTTCTTGATGTCCACCATTGAAGTACATCAGTTTGACTTGAAACTTTGGGCAAGGATAAATATGAATCAAATTCATTACTAATAATAGTATCTTGCTGACTTGATTGTTTTTGATGAGTTGTTACTGAAATAGAAAAAATATCTTCACTATCCATTTCATCTTCAGAAGCTATTGGATCGTCTTGGCTTTCTGTACCTAATATATTTTCTAATTCATAGTTAGAAGCCAATTCTTCATATTCAGTACGTGCTTCTGAAATAGCTTGCTGCTGTTCATGATTTTTAAATATCTCCATATTTTTAGTTCGTGGATCAAAAAAGACAGCAAGCCGGATTGGTTTTGTTGGTTCTGAAAATCACGTTTGAAGTGATTCATAAAGAAGGTTTCCAAAATTTCGAACAATATGATTATTTATTATTGCACAAGAAATTTTTGTTTTAATATAATTAATAACAAACCACGCTTGAGAAAGTGTTAGATATTTTGATCCAGATAAAAGTTTTGAAACAACCTCATAGAGACGTAATAATATTACTAACTCAGTTATCTCATCCCAATCATCAGATGACAACTCCTTATCTTCATAACTTCTTAATGAAATATTTTCATTAGTTTCAACTAATAATGACTTATATCTATACATTGCTGGTTTAAGAATTGTTAACCGTTTTAGCATATAGAACGTGGAGTTCCATCTTGTTGAAACATCGTGAACAACACAAAGAAACTTATCCCAATCTTCTATTTTCATTTGAGCTGTTAAAAGAAATTGTTTTTGTTTTGGACTTCCGCTAAAATGCAATACAATATCCTTATATTTTTTTATTAAATTTATGATTTCAGGACAATTTTTTAGTGCATTGTTAATTGCAAGTTGCAAAGTGTGACCAAAACAAAAGATCTTTGATATATTGTATTTTTGTTCTAATCTTTTTACACATAATTTAATATTTGATCCGTTATCAACTATACTACAAACAGTCTTATTTTTAAGATGAAGGCTATCTAAAATATTAATGATTTTATTCAAAAGACACTCTGCAGTATGAGGATATGGAAGACGTAAAATATTACTGATTATTTCTTTCAATTGAAAATCATCATTAATCTAGTGAATCATAAGTCCAATATATGGATCATTATTATCTGATGTCCACATATCAGTGGTGAATGAAATATAGCAAATTTCAGTATCATCAAGTGCGTATTCATGAATGTTTTGTAAAATTTTATCCTTAGCATTAATAAGATTTTCGTTTAAACGATCTATGCTAAGTATATTAGCTCGTACATCAAGTCCTTCGATAATTCATTTAAATGCCCGTGACTGAAGAATTGAAAATGGTTGAAAATCTTCGATAACAAAAGCAGTGATATTATTATCAAGCTTTTTTTGTATTGGATTATTAAACATATACTTAGTTGTTTTATTAAATGACTCCATTATTGTCATTTGTGAAGGTTCTGCCATTATATGAAATTCACAGTTACCATCATCTTTTGATACAACTTTTATACAGCCACCTTCTACCATAGCCCTTGAAATGTGATGCTTATTCCTTAGATGCCGCCATAGATTTGAAGTAGATCCATCTTTTTGGTATTTTACTTTTGGGGCACAACTTTTATGATGACATACCCAAACTTCAACATCATCAATTTCATCTACTGAATAAAAGAGTCTAACTGCACTGCCTCCTGGTTTTTCAATTTTTTTTCTTCGCTGTGAATTATTGTCATTACTAGTTTAGGATGGCCTACTAATATTACTAGATTCTGATGTTCTACTAATATCGTCATGTGTTAGCATCATATCATCTGAATATTCTTTGTTATTCATTGTATTATTTATTTAATATAGTTTATTTTTATCTATAACAAAGATTATATTGTCTGGACCAACTAGACAACCCACACACACAGAAGTAAGGTGTCACCCAAGGTTACTCAATGGGTTAGAGACAGGAACGATTTGGTGCGGTTTAAAGCTATAGTTAAGTATTTTTACAACTGGGTAATTAGGCAAACTTAAAGAGCGTTATAATTTTCTTGGCACTTAAAGGATTTTTATTTATTTATTAATTGTGTAAGGGGCAAATTATATAATACTGATTATGCTTTAACAAGAGGAATTTGACCTCTTATTTATAATAAATTTATAGAGTAAGAAAAAGAACAAAATAGAAAGTTCTCATTCATTTTTTTTCAATTTTTTTTTTATTATACCGCCATTGAACTCTAGCCATATAGCCCTTTTCTAGCTAATTCTCTACCCCTTACACACAGCCATTCTCATTGAAGCATTTGACGGAAGGAAAAAAGAAGGCAGGTCAAATGAAGGCTTCTACGCCGTCATTATTTTTTACCTGTTGATTCATTAATTCATTCATTATATCATTCATATTTCTTTTTTCACAGCCACACACTTAACTCAACAAGGTAATATTACCTTGACAGCTGTCAAACTGAATTGGGTAA